CAGTGCGATTGGCACAGGACAGAGCGGAGTTTAGGGCTGTTGTACATACGGTCGCTATGAGTCGCAGGCGACTCGACGGCACATAACAACAACAATAGTTAAAAGCCCTTTTCTACTCTTGGATTGCTCAAAATCCATTTTTAAATATATGTAACCCAGAACATTTGGAGACACTGTTTGGTGGATTCAGACATTTATGTAAACCACAAAATTTATCAATTAAGAGAGAGAGCTTCCTGATCTGAATAGAGCTCACTGTTCTTATCAATAAAAACTTAAGAGTTGGTGGTGTTGTATGCTGTGGAGTGGGAACTGACCCAAAGCTGAGGCTCTAACATATTTTCAGTCAGTAAATCACACTGGAACAGACTGCCCAACCTCTTGTGGAGCACCTGGTCCGTTTGAAAAATGAGCCTTTGGGATTGCAGTACCGCTTCTTACCACTAGGCTAGCTCTGGCTCCCCATGAGCACATAAACAATACAAATCAATCTGCCTCAAAACCTCCTGGCCCTCCTTATCTGGTAGGAGGTAATGGAGAAGCGCATCCTCTGCTTCCATCCCTTCCTAACCTGTCCTGCTGCCTTTCCTGGCTGTCCTGTGCTTCTGCTCCACGCTGTATCTATTGACAGATTATTTTTTTAATTTTATTTTAATAATTTTAGTGAGCATTTACAGAGAGTTTGGATTTCCATTCATTCATTGCTGTACTTCGTTCCCCCACAAGTTCACTCCTCTCTTTGAAAAGTAAAACTTCCTCCCTGATACAAAATCCCCCCGGACCCCTCCCACCGCCACAACTACAATCTACTATGCAACCTTAATTGTGGACTTTCGTGATAAGCATAATACACTATCATACATAGCTTTTAAATTATTCTCTCCCTCATCTCTTTGAGAGCATTATACACAATTTATCCAGTTTTTCTCAGTCTTGCCCCAACCCTGATATCAGTCCCATTATAAAGCAGTGGCACCATGCAGTATTTGTCTTTTTGTGACTGAGATATTTCACTCAGCATAATGTCCTCCAGGGTCACCCATTTTGCATAATATTGCAAGAGTCCCTTGTTTTTCAATGCAGCATAGTATTCCATTGTGTGAATATACCACAGCTTCTCTATCCATTCATTTGTTGATAGGCACCTAGGTTGTTTCCAACTCCTTGCTATTGTGAACAAAGCCACGATAAACATGGG